AGCTCAGCAGAGACAGGGACTTGCCCAGCATCAACCCTGGGGATTCTGGTAGCATTAAGCCCAGAACACCTGGCTTCCTGACTTCCAAATGAGTCCTTTCATCCACAGCCCTGCCTCCTAGGTAGCAGCAAGTATGCAGCAAACAGAAAGGAACAAAATTTTCTAGGAGCTCTGGCAAGAACAGTCATGTCAAAACATCAGCTTCTTGCTCTGAAAGGTAGGATGGGGTGGGGGCAGGGAGGGGTGTTCCTGGTCACAAAGGAAAAGAGTAGGAACACACCCTCCCAAGGAGGGGAGGGCCTCAGAGAGAAGGCATGATGGGACAGGCAACTGCTGGTGGGGGACCCAGGTCAGTCAGAGCTCTATCTCCAGACAATCAGGACACCTGGAGGGAGATCAGCGGGCAGGTATCTGCTGGGAACAGTCAGGGCAGCTCGGGGACACCAGTGAGGGTGGGGTTCTCAAGCAGAGTGATCAAGGCCAAAGTACCTTAGGGGAAGCACACATTTTACCTCCGGTGCCAGACCTGACGTTGGTGCCTGTGTCCTTCCCTATCAACTCAGCCGAGCACTGAGGGCCAGCAGGGATGGCCCCAGATGCTCAGTGCATCTACGGGCTGACTGAAGGGGTGTGGGACTCTGGAAGAAGCCTGGAGCTGCCTGGTTGTAAGCCCCCTGATGTCTCTGAAGAGAGACGCCATGAATGAGCTGCTGTGCAGGCGAAGGACAGAAGCTTGGGTGAGAAGTCACATCCTTCCAGAAGACACAGAGCACCAACGTGCTGTCTGAGTCCTGACCACTGACCAAACAGAAGGCACCCCTGCCGCTTCCTCCTGTAAGAGCCTGCAAGAGGGCCATCCCCAGACCAGTTCACTCCCATGACCTACGGAACTTCCATATTCTCTCCCAAACATGTCACGGTGTGTTTTCACTTACGTCCACGCCATGATATTCTACCTCAAATCACATTTTCTGCTGTGAATTCCAGGGGGCAATAACGACTGTAAGGGCTGCAAAGGCTTCTGGGGTGACGCTACGCTCTGCAGTCACCTGGGCTGATGATAGGCTGTGCTTGGTATGAACAGACGCCCTGTTCTAGCAACCTGGAGGTGCTCCTCGGTTACAGATCTAGCCTGTGCCATGTTCTTGCCTGTTGTTTCCACCCAGGCTGGAATTCAGCCCCTCGCTTCATACCTGCCACAAACACAGATAAGATTTGCTAAAAAAGAAAGAGCGGTTGGACTGGGTGCCTGTAACTCCAGCACTCGGGAGTTGGAAACGGAAGGATCTGCGGTCCCAGGTCACCCCCAGTTACATAAAGAGCTCAAGGTTAGCCTGGGCTACATAAGACCCTGTCTCAAAAAAGCAAATGACAAGGAAAATGTCACACACAGGAAGTGACAGGACAGCTTGTGCTGGCTTCTTGTTTAGGCTGCTCAAGCCACCTCCTCCACAGCCACTAAAATGAAACCATTGGGGGCTTGCTGGGCCCAAGCAGGGACAGAGACATTCCCAGGGTAAATCACACCCTGTGTCCCGGTGCCTGCACTACTACAGACTCTGGGCCAAGCACTGAAAAGCTGAAGACAGAGAGTCAGTCTCTCTGGGTCTTTGTAGGTGGGGAAGGGTCCATTCTCTACTAATGGGGAAAGACACTTTACGACCTATGTTTTTCTTTCTTTTAGACCCTCAGGCACCTAGCAGAGGGGGCAGCGCACATGTTCTCCTGGATAGATGAGCAGAGGACATCTAAGCCAGAACCGGGAGACCAACTAGTCCCACCCCAGAAGAAAAAGCAGTGTCTAGGGTGGTCTGCCCGCAAAGTCACTGAACCTTTCCATCACGGTTCCTTGTTTATGACAGAGGAGAGTGGTGCCTGCGCCACGACTGACTGTGAAGATTAGCTGGCAACAGCATATCCCAAGCACTTAACCCAGTGCCTGGCCTTCAGTGGGCAGCAGCTATTATCAGAGCCAGGGCACCCGAGGTCACATGTTCATTGCAGCACCAGAAGTGGGGCTGTGGTACTTGCTTCACTGTCTATGCTAGTGTGAGACTGGCAGACAGCCGTCACCTGTCATCAGACACTCCACCCAAGGTCACCTATTCCCAGGGTGGCCCCACACACAGGGGCCTGGGGGAAGTGTGTGAAGGTCAGATGACTTTGGGACTTTGCCACCTCCCTAGGGGGTCAGATGTGGACCCCTAAGAGAACCATCCTCCACGGTAAAAGTTCCAGAGTTAGCTTCCAAGAAAGCCAGGCTGAGATGGGTCTTTGTTCGTGTCCCTTTTCCTTAGTAAGGGAGGAGAGGACAAGAGTGAGGAGGAAAAGTTGGAGCCCACGAAACAAGTCCATGGCACCGCCTTCACCTCCTCCCTGCCGCACACACGAGCAGCTTCCTGAGGACAGAAGCCACAGGGTGAGAGTGCTCTCTCCCAAGAGCAACGAGCACCAGGGAAGCTGGGAGCCCAAAGCACCCCCTACGGCATCGATGGCTTCTTTCACCATGAGGCAGGAAGTCAATCAGGCAGGGAAAAATGAACATCACACACTGCCGTCCAGACTCAAAAGTTTACAGGTAGATCTCAAAGAAGCAGAGAATAGGCCAGTGTTACCAGAGCAGAGCAGAGCAGAGACCGGGCAGGGTGGAGAGAGGATGGGGCCAGGGCTGCACAGGAGGGACAGCGCCCCGTGTCTGACACACGGGGGATGGTGACGACAGCTGAGGAGAAATGACTGGATAACAGAGGAACTTCCAGACACAAAAAAAAGATAAGGGTCTGAGGTATAGCAACTCCAAGTGCACTCACCTGCTCCCTGTACTTGGTGCTGAAACGGTATGCTCATTGCCTCATAAACATGCACAACCATTTGGGTGTCAAATCAAAATGAAAAATAGGGAGAGTGGAGAGAAACCACGGCCTGCCCAGACACATAAAGGAGCCAGATGCAGTAGCTGATTTCCATATTCCCAGCACTCAGGAATCTGAGACAGGACGGTAATTAAGAGCTACAACCTAAGCTATAGAGTGAGACCTTGTCTCAAAAAAATAATTAACTAATTAATGAATTAAACACACACACACACACTCACACTCACACACAGGACATCCATGCAAAGTTCCAGAAGTACCCTTAGTGCTGAGCTAAAAACTAAAAACTAGAGCCAGCAAGGTGGCTCAAAAGGTGTATATATACATACTTGATGCCAAGGCTGCCTCCAAGGTCCACATGGTAGATTGAGAGAACTGACACCTGCAAGTTTTCCTCTGACCTACACAGACACACAGAGACAGACAGACAGACAGACAGACAGACAGACAGACACACACACACACACACACACACACAGGGCACTCAGGAACCCACCTATCCCTCCCCCATTAATACAATTTTAAAAACCATTAAATAACCAGAAACCAGGCATCTTCAGAATCCAACCGCACTCACAGGAAGTGAAGGGGAGAGGCATACCCAAGAGACACCTTCAGTCTGTCTCAGGAAGGTATCTAGGATAACAAACCAAACATCAGCCTTTTTTTGCTTCTAACTAGAGTCCTACTGACTGACAGAATACTTCAGCTCCCTCTGGCAAAAGTGCTGTGCCTTGAAATAATATTCTACCTGGGAGTAAAAGCTAACCATGATTTAGTATACCAAATCTTAAGGCCTAGTCAACTGGTTTTATAAGCAAGGAAGGTGCTGCCTAGGAGAGCACATGGTCCGTTAAGACTTGCCAGCTGAGTCCTTAAAGGGAGGAATTTGCTGCCACATGACCAGCCCAAGAGGAATTAGGAAGACACTCCATCATCAAAGCTGCACTAGGTCCCAGAGCTGCCCATGATGAGCAAACCCCAGTGCTCCCATGGACTGCATATATGCCCATGGCCCGGCTTCTTGGACCCTCCTGGGGCCTCAGGACAAATCTGTCCATTCAGAGAGTGGGAGAAAGCCAGCACCTTTCCCTCCAAGGGCATTCCCTGTCCCAGCACTCCTCTATTTGGGAAAGCTGCTATTTGGTAGGACTTGGACTATGGGGAAATCATGAGCCCATTACTCAGGGGCCAAAAATGGAGAGAGAACAAATTACAAAGATGAAAAAAGCCACAACAGACTCCTAAGCACAGGCTGCTCTCCCAAGCCGCTCTCCCATGAGACAGGCGATGTTTTCAACAGAGGAATACAGATACTTTTCTTGCTGCCTCCAAACCCCATGCAGAGAAAAAAAGTTGAAGGCAGCAGTCTCAAAAGAGCCTGGTTTATTTTTTTTAGAAGAGAGAATGAAATCAGCCAAGTTTGAGTAAAAGCCTCAAGAAGCATCTTCATTCTAGTTTAAGCCACACCTGTGGGTATCACCTGGCTGCTGGCACCTGACAAATTGGGCTCTAGTGTCTCTGCCCAGCAGGGTCACCTGCTGCTGGCTGGTACCTGGGTGCGGGCTGAGTCAAGAGGCACCTGGCTTAGTGGCTCTAGTGACCCTGCAGAGTCCTACCCTGAGTTCCTGCTGCAACAGGTCCAAGGAGGAGCTATAGAATTCCACTTCTAACCAGCATCTAGACAGAGAGATGAGGCTGGTCCAGGTCTACCTGCAGAACCGCCATACTGACCAGCAGACAAGAACCAAAAGCCCGCACCCCACTCACTCACACACATGGTGACTGTGAGCAGAGCAACCACATATCTGGCCCTGGGAAAAACACTCCCATTCAAGTCCTGCCCAGGCCTTTCGCTGCAAGAGGCTTGAAGCTTCACCTCTCACCCCTGAAACTCAAAGTCACAGCATTTCCTTTCTGTGAGAGCAGTTGTGAACAACCCACCCTGATTCACCCTGCACACATGGTAACTCCCACATATGAGGGCTGCCTTCTGCCCACAGCCGCTTTCAAGTCTCTAAGCCGGCAGAAGCAGTTGAAAGAGGAAGAAAAAAGAATAACAGCAGATCAATTCTGGTGGGGACCCCATCACCCCACCACGGGCAATTCCACAAGTATCTCACTTACCAAAGTAATCAGCTTTGGGGTGAGCGTCCATTTCTTGCTCCAGACGCTGGGTAAGGGCTTCTAATTTCAACTCCGCAGTGGAGGGTCCAAGCTCAGGACCTGGTGCCGGGGTCTGGCAGGGCAACCTCACCTTGGTGGGGGTGGAGCTCTCTGGGAGCGCTGGTCCCAGGCTACTGTCGGTGGACCAGAGGGGAGGACCCTCTTTGCAAGATAACTCAGATGGAGTGGACATCACCGGATGGATAAGGCTAGTGGGGCTGGGCTTGGGACCAGTGCCAGAGTCCACGGATGCAGGCTTAGGACCCAGCCCGGGGGTCATACCTGGCTGGGTAGTGTCCTTGTCAGTTGTTGAGGATAATGGAGCAGAAACAGAGAGGTAAGACTTGGGCCCATCCTGGAGCCAAGGCTGAGCGTCCACAGTGGGTTTGAGGACCCTGTCTGAAGCCTCACATCCCAGACCTGAATCTCTTCTCGGACAAGCTCCTTGGCTGGTGCTGTTAGGGACCGGAGGTGCAGAAACAGTTGTGCTCCTGGGTTGAGCTGGGGTCCCATTCTTCAAGCCCAGAGAGGAAAAGCCGGGGTTCACGCGCTGAGAGGAGGCAGTAGACCAAAGGCCTGTTGGCTTCACATTTCTATGGCCACTAATGCCACTCTCAAAAGGCTGGTAAGGGTAATGGTCCCCGCAGGAGCTGGGCAATGGGGAATCGCTCCCTGGGCAACCAGGCCACCCACTCCTTACACTCGGATTCATGCTGGGGGACACCTCTGGTTTATCACCCCACTGTGGGCTTGCCAAAGAGAAATTGTCATAATAGTCTCCATGAGTGAGGCAGGAAGGGTCTTCACAGGGACCCAGACCGTGTAAAGCAGGCCTCTGGGAACTCACGGGTGCCTCCCTGGAACCACAGTTCTGATTGCCAGGCCTCTGCTCCTGAGATGGGTATGAGGGCTGCACACCCACAGTGGTGGTAGCTAATCCAGGTGCCATTGTTGGCGCAGCCAGAGGGGGCTTGGCGGCACCATCTGCTGTGGTCAGCTTGCTGCTCACACCCTGACGGCTCCCACCGTTGACAGGGCTTCTGCCCGCCCTAGACAGGGCCTCGTCTTGTAGGAGCTGCTGCTGCTGTTGCTGCTGCTGCTGCTGCTGCTGCTGCTGCTGCTGGAGGTGGATTTTGGCCATCTTCGTCGCGAACACCCTTCGAGTTTCCTCAAATTCAGGGTTGTTGCTGACACCCTTGTCCACCCGGAAGAGTCCATCCTTGGAGGCCTCGTACATGTTCAGGTCCTCGATGAACTTGCTGGCCTCCAGGCCCAGGTCGTCATATTTATCCATGTTGCAGATCAGCGTCCGGGGCCTAGCTCCGGTACAAGGTGTGCTTGGGGTGGGGAGATCTGGGTGCCAGCCGAGGTTCAGGTCCAGCCCAAAGCGGATAAAGATTCCCACCTGCCCAGCCAGAAGGTCATGACTCCAAAACTTACGGTCCAACCAAAGCTGAGGCCTTCAGGCCAGCGGGGCTAAGTTTACTTCCAGACTTCTTTCCCCTGGGGAGCGTCCACGTGGGGGCAGAGCAGCCTTCAGCTGCGCCGAGACTGCTTTGAAAAGTTCTCTTTTCTAAGAAATAAAACCAAAAACAAGACGGAAGAAGACGTTGAATGTAAACAGAAAAAAGCAAACCCACATCCAGGCCGGGCAACCGAACTTGCAAACCCACGGGGCAGCGGCTGGCCCAAGGCAGGCGGGCGGGCGGGTCCCGCCGAGCTCACTGCAGCCGCGGCGCGCGGCCCATTGTCCGATGGCGGCGGCCGGCGGCGGGACGCGGAAGTGAGCGCGGGCAGTCAGTCCCCGGAGTTGTTAGCAGGTCCTCTGCGCCCGCCCCGGGACGCGCAGGGGCGCCGGCGGAGGCTCGGAGGGCGGGACGGCGCGGGGCGCGGGGCGCGGGGCGCGGGCGCCCCCTGCAGGCCTGTGGAGCGCGCGCCGAGCCTTGGGTCCCGCGCTGGGCCCCGAGAGGGACCGGCCGCTCGCACCGTGCTTTCGCGCAGACTGTTTAGAGCTCGCCCGAGAGCCAGGGATGAGCCTAGCCTCCCGGCCGGCCTCTCATGCCTGTGCCCCCACGGGCTCCACCCCTGGCGGCGCTGGGGGAGTATCCAGGGAGGAGACAAGTGTGCTGGAGTCGCCGGTGCCTGGAGTTCGGTGTCCAGGCCCCTGGCTGCCCGAGGCCACCGCTTCTCCAGAGAACCCGACGCCAGACTTGTCTCAGGAGCGAGCGCGGCTGCTAACCTAGGATGTTGTGGCTGGTCCTCTTTGACAGAGACGAGAGTCCCCGTGGTCTGCACAGTCAGCAAAGCATAGGAGGCCCAGATCCAAAGAAAGAAAAACGGGGGGGGGGGGGAGGGAGGGCGTAGTGTTGTCCATAAAGTGATGGCTTGGAGCACACTTGTGTTGGACATCCTACGCTACACATGCCCAGAGAGGCTTGTCGTCTATTTGGAGACTCTTGAACCTCACTCAAGCTGGTCCAGGGTGCCAGGTTTTGCTTTTCTTTTCTGCTCTCCCTCCCTCCGCCCCCATGGTACAGGATACCCTCCCTGCACATCTCCCAGCCACAGTGAGCTAAAGCAAATCCAAGGACTGTCGCTCGTGAAGTTCTATCCTCAAGACTTACTTAGGATTTAGAAAACGTGGCTTCGCTTCTGGCCGCCCTGCCTACCCTCCTGATTTGGGGTCTTCCCTGAGCTCTCTGGCCGATGGAACTTCCTAGTGCCCACCTTCCTTCCCAGGTGAAATCACCTCCCCATAAAGTTACCTCCCCCCCCCCACACACACACACCTCACAACCCCTTTATTTCGTGCTTGGTTTTTGAACGCCATTTAAATCAAGGATATGCTAAAGTCGCTAACCTGTAGGCTTCTCCCCTCCTACTCTAAATATCTCCAGATCACTTATACTACTTAATGAGATGTGAATGTTATGTAAATAGTCGTTGGCTTGTTTTTGTTTTGTTTTGTTTCCCCCAGGAATCATAACAAGGAAATGAAATCTGTATGTTTAAAGCGGACACATTTTTTTTCTTTTCAGAGCATTTCCCACCCTTGTTGGTCAGATGCTGAGCTTAGACGTGAAGGGTCAACTCCAACTGTTTATTCATCTGTATGCCCTTTTTGTTTGCCAGAGGCTCAGGTATCCACTTCATCCCACCATATCTGTATACGCTCAGGGTTTGGTTGAACATGCATGTCTTGGTGAATCTCTATGGGATTGTGACAAGGAGCAAGTAATATAATATATATGAAAGTGCTTTATAATCTGTAAACACAAAGAATGGTTCACTGACCTGAAGACTCTGAATGTTCAGGATGTTTGTTGAAAATGAAGAGTCCCAGGTTCCAGCCCCAACCTATTGACCCCAAATCTGCATTTTAGCACCATTTCTGGGGGTGGGAAGACTATCTGAGTACAAACACACACACACACACACACACACAAAGATGAGTACTGCTATAAAGCACTGTACCAGAATTAGGTTTTAAAGATTTATTTTAGTTTTTAAACTATGTGTGTGTGAGAGATAGAGGAAGGGGGAGGAAGGGAAGGAGGGAGGGAGAGAGGGAAGGAGGGAGGGAGAGAGGGAGGGAGGGAGAGAGAGAGAGATGAGTAAAGATATCCTTGGAGGTCAGAGAGGGGACCAGAAGCCCCAGTGCTGGAGTAATGGTGGTCAAATGGCACCCTGTGTAAGAACTGGGCATTGAACTCCACTCCTGTGCATGAACAATATGTGCTTTAACTGCTGAGCCATCGCTCTTGCCCAGAATTAAATAGTTTTATTTTAAAGGAATCTCCCTTTTGGGACTTACAACCCAGTGGCAGAACACCTGCTGGGCATACACGAGGACCTGGATTCCATCCCAAAAACAACAACAAAAGTAATATCAGCAGCTTATGAAGATGGCATCTCTATACACCATCAAGTATGTGATTCTTAGAAGTACTGGAAATGGGCTGGAGAGGTGGGTCAGTAGTTAAGAGCACTAGCCGCTATTCCAGAGGACTTGTGTTTTATTCCCGCTACTCACACGGTGGCTCACAACTGTCTTCAACACCCTGGCCTCTCTAGACGCTGCATGCATGTGACACGCAGACATACTGTAAGCAAAACACCCACGAGCAATACCCCAAACAGTCAGGAAGCTATGAATGTTTCACTGTTGCTGTTCAGTGCTGAAGAGACTAAGATTATTCCAGTGCTGCCCACGACATTTAGAATACCAGCCACAGTTATTTAATGTAGGCCTGTTTTGTCTGATTCCTGTATTTGAAAACATCTGTTGACTAGTCTCCCAAAGGACGTGTTCAGGTCTAGTGAGATGGTTCAGTGGATGGCTGCCCAGCCTGATGACTTGGATTTGATTTCCAGAACCTGCATAATAGAAACAACTCCTACAACACACACACACACACACACGTTAAGTGAAGGGACGAATAAATGGATGACTGACAAGTGGATGTTCTTAAAAGATGTTCATTCTTGCCTATCGGTTGTGGTGGTTTAATCCCAGATACTCAATAGAGTAAGTCAGGAGACTCCTGCCTGGGCTACAACATGAGTGCAAGGCTAGCACTGGAGATGTATCTCAATGGGAGATCATTTGCCTAGCATAAGAAAGGCCCTGAGTTTGTTCTTCGGTACCACAAACATTAGAAACTGAAAACATATTGGAGGTATGAGTAGGGCCTGTGGAGAGAGCATTGCTAATGTGGGAGGAAGAAGAGTGTGTGGAGTGACGTCTGCAGAGACGGGGCTTGACCTTCAATGCACTCTTGTGCGTGGTAACAGAGAGGAAGGATTTGAGTAACTGGTGGATCAGTAAGGACAATGATACTGAGATTTTATTAATAGAATGAAAGCCATTCTAATGGCCTGGATTTTTTTTTCAGTGAAATAGGAAGTGAGTGGGTAGCTGAAATCAGTGAAGTGCCTGCTGGACACTGGCCATTTTGTGGAGTAGGAGCATGAGTGACACGGGACAGGAAAGTCCTCTGAGCTGCCCAGCCCCAGTCTGTGCATAAAGTTCACCAAAGTGAGCGTGGCAGTTTGAATGTAATTGGTCCCCCATAAGCTCATAGGGAGTGGCACTATTAGGAGGTGTGGCTTTGTTGACGTGGGTATGGCCGTATTGAAGGAAGTGTGTCACTGTGGGGGTGGGCTTTGAGGGATGCCCATGCTCAGGACATTGCACAGTGTCTCAATTGGCTTCCTGTTGCCCACAAGGTGTAGGAGTCTCAGCTACTCCTCCAGTAATACGTCTGCCAGCACGCTGTCATGCTCCCATCATGATAATAATGAACTGAACCTCTGAAACTGTAAGTGAGCTATCCCAATTAAATGTTTTCTTTGTAAGAGTGGTCGTGGTCTCTCTTCATAGCAATATAAAAACTCTAAGACAGTGAGTTCACTAAGGTAACTTGTGTCTCTCCAGTTCAAGTCCACCTGAGCAGATGTAGGTATTGAGCAGAAGAGTTGGGTATAATCAGTGCCAGTTTTGGCCAGCTAGGAACAGTGTACCAAGAGTAGGCATTTACCTAGAAATCCCTCCCCAAGATACTCAACTCCCAGGTCCCACTCAAGCCCATTTCTGGGGGGAGCCCCTCCCAACACCATTTCTCCCGACACACAGGGAACGTCCTCCCTGTTGAGTGTTTCCATCAGCCTCTTCATTACAGTGCAAGCCTTGCCAGACCATGGGTCTTTGACTATTTGCTTCATTGCTGCAACCCAGGACCTCAGAATAGTGCTTGACACACGACAGTTACTCAAAAAAGGTGAAAAAATAGGTACTCATAGTAGAAAATAGGATCACAGGTGTTGACACTTGCAGGTAGAAAAAATTAGTTGGTGACTCAACCTTTAGAAACAAACAGACAAGTGGAAGCCATATTGTTATCTTTATAGTCACATGTGTCTCTGCAATACCTCTGTAAATCTTAACTGGTCATCTTGTAACCAGACATTTGATCCAAAGAGTATTTCATGAATTCTAGTAATGCATACTTTAGTTAGGAGTGTGACTTTCAGCCAGATATGATGATCTATGCCTGCAATCCCAGAAACTGGGAGGCAGAACAGGAAGATTAGGAGTTGAAGGTCCATCCCCTACTACTAATAGCATTTGAGTCCTACCTGGGCTACTACATGAGACTTCATCTTACAAAACAAAGCAACAACCAAAAAAGAAAGGGTAAGAAATAGTATGGTTTCATATAGGTGTGTGTGTGTGTGTGTGTGTGTGTGTAAGCGCGTGCGTATTTAAATTCATAAACTACATTTAGAAATATCTGTTTGCAAACTGAGTATGAGAGCTTGCATATGTAATTTCAGCACTCATGAGGCTGAATTTGAGGCTAGCATGAACTGCATAGTGAGTTCCAAGTCAGTCAGGACTATGGAGTGAGCCAGTCTCAAAAACATAGAGGCTTAGGATGTAGTTCAGTGGCATGGATGATTCTTGATTTGAGCCCTACACTTGAAAAACAACATTTACACGCAGACATGTATGTTTTTAACATAGGCATGTGTAAATAACTATAGACTTAAGGGCGTCTGAAAACTCCTGTCTCGTAGCCTCTAGGCAGGTCACTGTGTTCATGGAGCGACCAGACCTATGAGGCAAAGATCCACTGGCTTGAATAGAGCCCTGCTTACTTTGCAGTGAACTAAAAGGGCCTTTCTGTGGCTTTTGCTTGGCTATAGGAAATATCCCTGTGCACAATGCCGTATGTGTCCCAAAGTATGTTCCACTGCAGGGGCAGCTCTGAATGGAATCTTTATACTTCAGCTGAGGAGATGGATGAAGAATTAGCCATTAAGGTTTCTTTGAGCTCTTTCCATCCTACTGGTGCCCAGAGCGGGCCAGGAAGTGCTGGCTGCTCCAAATCCGCTTCCTGAACCTAAGGCCTCTCTGGCCCCAAGCCTCCCTGAGGAACAGCTCCATGAATGGAGACAAGCGGCTGCCTTGAAGGCCCTTTCCTGCTGCCTGTAATGAGGCTTTGTTTCATCATTCTCTGCCCTGGAATGCTGCCAGGTCAGACCCAGAATTTAGGATTGTGACCTTGTTCTATGTGTGTGTGTGTGTGCGCGTGCGTGCGTGCGTGCGTGCGTGTGTGTGTGTGTGTGTGTGTGTGTGTGTGTGTGTGTGTGTCCAATGCCAGGCCAGCAAAACTCTACTCCTATCTAGTCCTGCAGCACACAGACTGGCTAAAGCCATGTGCCTTGCCACACATGGTCACAGCGGTGAGAATGTCCAACACCCACCGATCGGCCCTACTGAAGCTGCAGGTGTTGACTAAGACACAGTGAGCAGGCTCTGAGTTGGCCTGAGGCTCAGGCTTTCTCTTTCTTTTTTAGAATAACACCCACCATGGCTGGAGAGCTGATTCAGTTGTCATGAGGACCCGATTTTCCAACCCCAAACCCAAGTTAAAAAGCCAGGCATGGTGGTGCATACTTGTGGTCCCAACCGTGAGGCAGTAGATCCCTGAGGCTATGGCCACCCAGGATAGCCTGCTTGATGAGCTCCAGGTCATTGAAAGACTGACTCAAAAAGCGAGGTAGATGGCTCGTAAGCCTGGCCTCTGGCCTCTATACCCACGTGCGCATATGAACACACAAAATACTAACACACCGGTATGACTTCAAATTCAAAAGGTACAAATGAGCACTCAGTGGCAAGGACGTCCTCTCCACTCCAAGCCAAGCCAACAGTGCCCTCTTCAGAACCAGGCACAAACACCTTCCCAAAGTATGTGGAGACATGTTCATCCTTTAAAAAAAAGTTTTACAGACATGTTCATCAAGTTTTATACATTCCCTGCTTCTGGCATTTTGCAGTGTATAATAATTTTAAAAATCTCACATCTCCCCATGTGCAGCTGGTATTTCTCTCCTTGGTTGACTCAGGAATCCACCAGCAGTCTCTTCCTCATAGACACGGGTGGGTGATTTACAATGCAATCTTCTGGCAAGGCTTATGTCAACTAGGCACAAGCTACAGTCATCTGAAAAGAGGGGACCTCAATTGAGAAAATGTCTCCATAAGACCCAGATGTAGGACATTTTCTTTCTTTTACTTCCTCCCTCCCTCCCTCCTTCCTTCCCTCCCTTCTTTTTTTTTTTTTTTTTTTTTTTTTGGTTTTTCAAGGCAGGGTAGGCATAGGGAAGGGCCCAGCCGCTGTGGATAGTGTTATTCTTAGACTGGTGGTCCTAGGTTCTATAATGAAGCTGGAGCTAACGCAGAAGCCATGAAGGGGTGCTGTCTACTGGCTTACCTAGCGTAGCTGCTCCTGCCTCCAGGTTCCTGCCCTGTTAGAGTTCCTGTTCTGACATCCTCCAGTGACAGACTATGATGTGAAAGTGTAAGCCAAATAAATCCTTTCCTCCTCAACTTGCTTTTGGTCATGCTGTTTCCTCACAGTGATAGTAACTCTAACTAAGACACCCTGTACAAAGCCAAGCCAGGCTATCAACGGGATAGACACCCATGATTAGGCATGCAGACAGCATTCAATAGCTTTACAGTTTTTTACTTTATAGTGGGTTTATAGGGGTATTAAATACATTTTCAACTTCTGATACTTTCCACACATCGTGGCTTTGTTGGGAACATAATCCCATCGCTGGCAAAGGATTGCTAAGTTCTCAGCAACTCTGTGACGCATCAGGAAGGACTTAGAATCTTCCTGAACACATAGGTCTTCTTTGTTTTCCCTCAGAACACCCTAATCATGATCCGTGTAAGAACCATGGATCTTAACTGCTAACAGGCCACTGGCACCTACTGTACTCCAACAAGTCCAGCCCAGAACCTCATGGCCTGCTTCTTTAATAAGGAAAAGGCGTTGGAGAGAAAAGGAGCTTGCCCAAGTCCACAGCCTGAAGTGGTGGATCTGGGACTTAAATCCTGTTAGGCTGGTTCTTTGCTACCCTATCTCTCAAAATGTAATAATCTAAGTAGCTGTGTGGTTATGGAAGCCCACCTCTGCCACACACACACACACACACACACACCTTTCCAGCTTTTCAAAGGCCACCCAATTCCCCTTGACCTAAGTGCCTCCTGGGTCCTCTCTAACTGACCTTCACTCCAGTCGACTGGCTGCTTCCTTTCCATGGCCTGCACCTAACAGAGAACTGATATAGCTGAAGTAAGGTAGGTCTGGGACCGACAGAACCACTGGCCCACCACAGGTCCTGGTTCCACTGTGGGATGAGTGACTGCTGTGTCTGGACCTATAACAAGAATCTGGGGTCTGCTGCTAGCTGCTTTACCAGAAACAGGGGGTGGGGAGAGGCAGGAATTAGTAAGAGGAATGGACAAACAGAAATGTTACAATTTATGGAAAAGGAGTAAAAGCCAACAGACCAGTTGTGAGACAATAATACTTCATAATCTCCCGGGAGACAGGAGTCTCTTTAGTTCCTCCGCTGGAGCCAGAGTTAAAGGCTTTCTGTCAGCATAGGAATTCCTGGGAAATTTTAATTCTTTAGGGTCCTTGCTACACTATTATAGACCTGTCCCTAGAGCTGTGCTGAGTTAGCACTTTTGGGTGCTCCTAACCAGGGTATACAACTGGCTCCTGCAGAGAGCTACAAGATGCCTGTTGCCCACAGCAGCTTTGACCTGGGAGTTCTGAAACAGAAGTCTAGGTTCACTGGCTGGCCTAGACCTCAGAGATCCTCCTGAGTGTTAGAACAACAGGTGTGAACCACCACACCCGGCCTCTGATACAACTTTTCTTATAGAAAGTTCCAGGTAAATTATGAAAGAGATCTGGAGAGATGGCTCAGTGGTTAAGAACACAGATTGCTCTTACACAGGACCCTGGTTGAATTCCCAGCATCCCCAAGGTGACTCACAACCATCTCTAAATCCAGTTTCAGGGGATCCAATGTCCTCTTCAGACTTCCATGGGCACAGGCAAAATACCCATACATGAAGAATTATGGAAGGTCTACAGTGAGTTCCAGGACAGTCAAGGATACAAAGAGAGACTCTGATGGAACATTATCCCACATCAAAAGACTATCTCAAAAATAAAATAATAATAATAATTATTATTAAAGGTAAACCAAAACAGTGAATCTTACTTAATTCCAGGACTTAGGAGGTGAAACAGAAGGAAAGGAAGAGGAGATCAGGGTGGGACACACATGAAACCATCTGAGGGGTGGGGGAGAGAGGAGAGGTTCTTGTTACATATGAGAAATAATTCAGAATTGAGACAAATCGTGGGGAGTTTTATTACAGAACAAAAGTACCCACTCAAGACACTTTTCAAGAGAAGATCACCTGGGAGAAAATTGTTTAGGAGTCTAAAAAAAAGAAGACAAGAAATTCCAGGAGAGGATCTGGGCTACCTGGAATGACATTTTACTGCGTTTTCCTGTTTTGTACAGTTTTGTGGGTGTGTTATGGTGTCAGGTCCATGTACGTGATGAGAGCAGGCAATTCTGCAAGGCGGATGTGGAATGCCACTGTGATAAACCAAATGACAGTTGTTGGTCTTCTGGGTTGGACATGTTGGTCCTAGCTGGTCTTGGATGGTCTTATTTTCCTGCCGTCCTGTCAGCTGTATGGGTACCAAAAAGTCAAGCTGCTGTGCAGTGTGACTTGTCCCCTGTGGGCTGAGGTCTAGCTTGCCTCGGAGAGAATGTCATTGTCTCTCGCTTGCATTCGAGGTGATGCTCGGGAAAGGAGGAGTGTAGCTTCAAACTAAGGAGGACACCAGCTGGTCAGAAAGCACTACTTGCTGGTGGCTCACCACACCCTGGCTTGCACTCATGGCTTCTAGAAGTATGAGAGGACGGCTGTTTTTTTGTTTAAATCACCTCATCTGTGGTACTCTTTCAAGGCAGCCTTAGAAAAAAGAATACATAATCCCAGCACAGGATTGGTTCATGGCTGGTTTTAGCTTTTGCCAATCTCAGTGTGAACACTCAGAGCCCCAGAAGGAGAACTGGGAACAGGACAGCATTTCACTTTCAAGCACTTATCCGTCATCTCCTCAGGGCTGCGTCTGCCACCAGAGCAAGGCAGATCACTGCTGCCCCATGGCATACCCGGATAACAGAAGCAGATGCACATAAAACTGCTGAGTGGACCAAGTGTCACTCTCTTGGCTGTGTCAAGGAAGAAAGGCCACACTTCTCAGGGACAGCAGGCAGGACAAGCAAGCCGTGGCTGAGGTCGTACGGCTGAGGAAGAACTCTGTGGTGGTGATATTTAAACCTGGAGCATGCTAGAGGCCAACAAGGAGGAGCCAAGGCGTGTGGGAGTGGTGTTAGCACATATGTGCACCTGTGGTGGGGGTTTTCCAGGTTCTTGTGTAACCAGATAAAAGATTATACAACGACATAACTACAACAGAAACAGAGCTACTTCCAGGGAGGCACAGGCTGGAGCAGAGAGTTAGCAGCTCAGACAGCCCCACTGAACACTTGGGTTCTCATGTATTAGAACATGTGACTCGGTTCATACGTACAGTGTGGGCTTCTCCTTGGATGCTGTATCTGTGCATGTTATTGTACAAACAACTTCATGCATTACAGATCTCATTAGCAGTTTGATTTTCTATCCAAGGGTGAGAGTTTTAGTAGTATCTAGGTCACCTTCGAACACTCAGGGCCTGAGCCAGTGGACAGAACTAAGTAGCTTTGGATGTGAGGGTCAGGTCCAGCCACTCAGATGATGGGAGCTCCTGTATACACACACTGCGGGAGTATTGTTTTATCTGAACATATGGGAAGATGGGAAGCAATCTGTTCCATCATCCTTCAGGCCCTGCACTGGGCACTTACCTCACAGCTGGGACATTATTAGTTCTCAAGAGTTAACTGCTCTCCCACACCAGGAACATGGTGTGAGGCACATTTCTCAAAGAAACAAAACCCAATCACTATATATGCCTTCCCCTATAGTAGGTCTGTTGCTGTGTCATATATGTGATGTGTGTGTGGTATGCTATATGGGAGGAAGAGATGTGGGAAATGCGTGTGTGTGTGTGTGTGTATCTAGTGTGAATGGTTGTGTTTATATGTGAGACATGTATGTATGATTAGATGTATATAGTATGTTCATATGTAGTTTGGAATCTACAATGTATAGGTGGTGCTGTGTATGTATGTGTGTGGTATGGCACGTGTATGTGTTCTGGTGCAGTGAGGACCAGAACACACAGAGGCAAAGAAGTGACCAACTTCTATGTTGCAGAAACAGTCATGCCCCTTCAGAAGTGGAAATCTGAAACATTCCCTTGTTTTCCTGAAGGGTGTCTCCATACCTCTCAAAATTCATAGCACTCCAGATTATTATCTCCATAAACCAATATGTGGTTCTCATGAAAGACAGAAAGTGGGAGGACTGGGGACCAAGATCAGCACAAAGAATGCCTACGTCACACATCTCTGTGGGATAGAGAATGGGGTCTAAGCCAGAGGGGAGGGTGGGTTTGTCCAGTTTACAGACAGCAAAGGACTCTGATTACATAGCTATTCCAGACCACAGTCAGCAGCTCTTACAGACTTAGGAGCACATGGCTGTCATTCAGGAGGTATTAGCTAAGCAGTGTCAGCAGACCCTTCAGATATTTACAAGGTAACTAAAGACGATGATGAACAAGACTTAGACAATTAAGAACGGTCACGTGGCAGGGCTGGGGTCTCCGTCTCCTGTGCAGCTGCCCAGCCCCATGCATCTGGCTGACGTCGATATGGCGTGATGCTTGCCAAAAGGAAGTAGGCAAAAGGGTCATGTGCAATTTGAGATCTAGTTCTCAATCTCCCTCGGGCTCTTCCCTTCCCTACTTCTCTGTAGGCCACTGGAATATCTTCAGCAACCTTAAAAGCCAGGGGTTACAGATGGCGGCTGCTAGGACTCCACACCCTCTGGCATGCTGGGATTTACAGAATGGAGTCCCTCACCCCATTCCCTCCTTCAGAGAGTTAGACTGACAGGGGTGATGTTTGCTGTGTGTGACACTGGAGTTAAGTATTGGCTGATGATGCCAATTGTGTGTGTGTGTGTGTGTGCGCGTGTGTGCGTGCGCATGCACGCGCGCATACTCACATGCGTGTACAGGTGTTCTCAGAGGCCACGTGACAGCACTGGATCCCCTGGAGCTGAAGTTACAGGTAGTTGTGAGTCACTTGACATGAATGTTAGGAACTGAACACAGGTTCACTGCAACAGCAGCAAGCTCTTGTGACCACTGAGCCATCTCTCTAACCCACAGATGCCAACATTTTAAATCTGAGGTTGACTGGACTGACAAGGGAGGTATGAGTGGACTGCTAGTGTTAGTGTGCCTACGGAGTCCTGGGTACTAATGCAGTAACTGCTCAGAGGGAGTTGATGCCTAAACTAAGCTAATTCCTGGAAACAATATTTACTAACAACTAAGCTGATCACAAATGATGGGGACACTGGGTGACACTTAGGCTCCCAGTGCTCAGCCCAGCCTGTATGTGACCTTTACTATGGTGGGGAATTCTGCCCAATGCCACTTGACACCTGCCCCCCCTTCCAGCACCCCAGGGCCTTTTCTAATGGAAAGGACTTGCTTGCCCTTACCTTTGAGGAGTGCATCACCCAATGTAGCCTGCCTTTTTTTTTTTTTAAGATTTATTTATTATGTATAGAGCATTCAGCCTTGGATGCCAGAAGAGGGCACCAGATCTCATTACAGATGGTTGTGGGCCAACATATGGTTACTGGGAATTGAACTCAGGACCCCTGGAAGAGCAGTCAGTGCTCTTAACCCCTGAGCCATCTCTCCAGCCCATGTAGCCTGGCTCTTAACACTGCAGTGCCACCAACACACCTTTTTCAATATGCCTGTGAAGGGGAGCCCTCCCTTACCACCCAGTCTCCTGATTCTGGGGCAGGCCATACCTTAGGAATCCCAGATATGCTCTTCAATGTCTGTGGAAAGAATGTCCTAGGGAAATTTCCAGAAGTTCTGCTATCAAGGCCCACCCAGCTTTCCAAGCCAGGGTGACTCCCTGGTGTCTGAGTCCTGGTGACAGTGCCCAGGGGAAACTGAGTCTGCCAGGGGTAATGACTCCTCAGAATGTCAGTCCCAGGTTCAGATGTGCGAGGCTAGGTTGACAGGGACCAACTTTCTCAGTCACGGGTTGAGAAATGTACACTCCACAAGCCCTGGGGTAGCATCTAGACATCAGGCCTGCTTTGGGAAATCCAGAAGGTGCGGGGCTGGCTCTAACAACGCCGTGGAGCAGAGCGGGAACATGGCTCTGCCTCGTCTCTGTGTGGTCTTGAGCAAGGCCCCTTATGTGATACAGAGGAGCCTGGCACACAGTCCACAGTAGGACACAGAAATGACTGCTGCTGCCGTTGGCAGAGTTCACAGCCCACAGCATCTTGACACTCAGTGCTTGTTGGCCTAGCTGTGCTCTTCCAGAGGCTGAACAAAAACTGGGATTCAGGTTCAGGAGTGAGGGTCAGGGAGTGAGTCATAGGTATTGCGTTCCTGCAGGCCTGGCCTCTTCCCTTAGGGCCTCATTATCTCTGTAGCTACTTTCCTTCTCCAAGGGTGTAGATGAGGGTGAGGGTCAACTCTGGGAGGTCACTGGCCCTCTGTCTCAGGTCTGTCCTGCCCTCAGCTGTCCTGTCAGGGTCGTCCCCACCCACTACACCCCCAGGGAGCCCCCCCCCCCGTTCACTGCTGGTCATCTCGGATTCCATTTTCCAAACTCATCAGCCTGGATACGAGCCTTCGGCCGCCCACGAAGGGAGCAGCTGTTTTCTACTGGCTTTTCTCACTGGCCTCCCCTCCACCTTCTCACGAGCTACAGGGTGCGACTGGTTCCCACTTGGAAGTACTTCCGCTCATGCTTCTGCAAAGGTGCTGTAGGTGGGGTATTCGTGGAGAGAGTGCCATAGCTCACCACACCGCTGTCTAAGCTATGGGAACAGGTCTTGGGGCAGGCTAAGGGCGTTCTCTGATCTCATCTACAGTCTTGACTGCTCGCTAGGAGAGCAGATCCCAAGGCTAGCCTGCGAGGAGCCTCCCTCTTACTCAGACCTAGCACCTACGCCAATGCTGGCTCCAAGTGCTGCTGTGACTCTCTGGGTTCAGTGCCACACAAAGGAACAAACATTCCCTAACTGTACCCACATTCCCAGGGAGCTGGACACCCTGACTTAGAAGACAAAGTAATACAAGGAGGCCAGGCTCCTGGTTCATGTGTATCTTTACAACATCATACTGTTGTTTTCTTCATTCACTTGGTATCCCAGGAGGCTTCAGGCAGACCATCTTCCTGCCTAAGCACCCCAGAGCTGGGATTACAGGTGTGCACTTCCACACTGGGCTGACATTACACATATTGGTATCTTTCTATTGCTGAAACACTTGATGGCAAAAAAAAAAAAATACAAAATCATAAACAGAAGGGAAGACCCTCACCAAATGATTTATGGGGCTGGAGAGATAGCTCAGTACTTAAAAGAACTGGCTGCTCTTACAGGTTCAGTTCCCAGCACCCACGTAGGGTAGCTCACAACTGCAGTGGCATCTTGCTTTGCCAGTGGACTTACGGTGGTGGCCACATCCCAGGGGCATAGCTTCAGGTGCAGGAGGAAGAGGAGGAGCTGGCTTGCTCTTTTGGGTTGTGGTCAGAGCACACCCTGCAGCCAGCCCCTCCTCTAGTTCCAGGGGCTCCAGCGCCCTCTTCTGGCTTCTGCAGTCACCTGCATGTGTACGGTATACATACAGACAATCTGGCGATACACATAAATAAAAATGTAAAGTTATGGTGGTGCATGTCTGAAATCCCAGTACTCAGGAGGATGAGTTAGGAAGGAAGATCTGTCAGTTCCAGGACAACTTGGCTGCAGAGTGAGGCTGACTCAAAACAAAAGGTTAGGATCACACACTGTCTAGGGTATCTTGCTTTTAGTTATGAGAAAATTTCCATGTCTTTAGTTGGTTGCCTTCTCTTCCACTGACTGGATGCTCTCATTACTGTGATGACCTGTTCTCTGAAGGAGGGTATTCTGGCTGGGTGAGGAATGCAAAACAATTAGTGTTTTGGTCTTGGGAGTCAGTTTCATTCTCTTTGGCAAAAGGCCACTCTGGCAGGATCCATGTGGGGCTCAACTTTTCTGGCTCACAAATTGTCTTCATCCATGTCCCCAAAGATATAACCTTCATCCACTTGGACCCTGAATCTCCCAGAAGCTAACAGCCTTGATCCTAACCCTACGGGACCAGGCCCAGGCTCCTGGCCTCTCATCCGCCCCAGAAGAGTAGGCACTGGTGCAGTAGTTCCCCAGACTTGAGACTGACTAGTGTCCCATGAAGGGGAGCCCCGACTGGACTGCTGGGAAGACTGACATTTCATCATATTGTCACACATCAGTCGAGAAGGGCATTTAGGTGAAGGCCTGGTGACACAGCAGGACAGCAGTAAGAGAAGCCAGATGTGACTTTACACCTGCCTCTTCTACTTACTAGCTTTGAAAACTAGGCAAATTACTGAGCCTCTGAGCCTCTTGTGGTTTCTGTTGTTACTGTTTTGTTTTCATATTCATGAGAGTAATTCCTATCCTCCAGGGTTTTGTGGAAACGGAGATAATGAGTTTCTGACTCAGATGGCACTCCACCCCATGCACTCGCCCACAGGGAGCAATTTTCTGTCCAATTGCTCCATCGTATCTACTTTCTCCTAGGATGTACCAATGAGCTCATGTTTCCAAGTTTCATCTTCTTGGAGAGAATGTTCTCCAACGCCCAGTGTGTCAGCCCAGCAGCCTACAGACTTTACTGGTCCACTGCTAGGGACAGATAACGCCCAACTAAAGGACACCCTCCCCTTAGTTCATCAAGGCCACTGAGCTCATTCCTGGGGAACACAAAACAGTCAAAAGCCCTCACCCTCCCTCCACATGCTCCTGTATGTCATGGGACTGTCCCTTGTGTCAGCTCGGGGATCCCTTTAAACCACCTCTCCGGGTTGTGGCTCTGCCTTCCTTTCTGGTCCCAATCTCTCCCAACTCTATTTCCTCATGGTTCTTGGCCAACCTCACTGGAGGTAAGATGAAAATGACGGAGAAATTGTGGTTCAGAAACATTCATTAATCCAGTGCTTTCAAACTTTGCTGTATATTAGGGTCACTGGCAGTTTTTCCTTGAGACAGAGTCTAACGTAGCCAAGGATAACTTTAAACCCATGATCCTCGTGCCTCTCACATGTTGGGAAGACAGGTATGCTACCACACAGCTTCTCTGGTAGAACTGCTTTGCTTTTCTGTGTTGGGCATGGAACCTTGGACCTTGCCATGCTAGGCTCACATTCAGCAGCCTCACTTGTAAAAAATGTTGAATCCTTTATGATAACTACAGTTAAATTACAACTTGTAGGCATGGAAACCAGGTACAGTATCAACCTCAAGACCCTGTGCACAAGCGTCTCTTTTTCATGGGCCTGGATGAGCACTGTCTGTATGGAGTGTGGGTTCAAGGTGACAAGACCATAGGTATTCCAGGGAGGCAGCACAGACCCAGGGCCTGTGATGCTGGAGGATGTTGGTCTGCTCCCAATTAACTCTTAGAACTGGAATATAGGGCTGTTCCAACATCACAGAGATGTCTCAAAGTGATATATGTCTATGACACTAAAAGGCATCTGAATGGCTGGAGACAGTGACAGCCACCATCTGTAATACAGACACAGAGCTAAAGCATCCTGAGACAACTAGGTTCTTCTCCCCTTCCCCCAGCTAAGTATTGAGCCCTGGCTCAGGCCATGTCTATAAGAGCACTTTAGTAATGACTCTCATAAAATCAGCTTTGTTTAATTCACTGGTGAGCTGGTTTCCACTCCTGGCCATCTCCTAAACAGCTAAATCATAGCAGCTTGGACACAGGAGGTGACAACCAGGAAGCAACAATTCTACTCCTCTTTGATGAACTTGCTTTTGCTAGTGCCATTCTGGGGGCCAAACTGGTAACAGTGATGTCACTATCTGAGGCCCATGTGAGCCATCTAGGGTTCAAATCCCCGCTGGGCTGTGATGGAGCTCTGGAGCGCATTGCAGTTCAGAACAGTTTCACTCACCACAGAGTACACTCTACACACTGAAACAGTGGCTTTGACACGGTCCTTCTGTTCAGGTTCATAAGTGGAGTCCTATCCCAGAGCACGTACATCAGACTCAGAACAGGCCACCCAGCTGGAGTGGAAGAGACCGTGTGACACAGCTGGAAGATGCTGGAGACATATGCAGAACAATTTGTAGAGATGCCAGTGTCCGTGTCCAGTTCCACAAGTAAGACACAGAACATATCCTGAAGGGTTTTCTCTATCCTGTAAGCCAAGCCCAGCTAGCACCATCTGTACACCTGCCCACTGTGCAGCTCCTGACCCTAAATGGCTCCTTTAGTCTACATGACTCCTGGAGAAGTGTCTGAGACAGTACCGAGCAGATGCAAAAGCTCCTGGCTGCTTCCCAGTCTTGTTTTTCTCCTTGCTCCCACCCAGCGGCATCTCTGGTAGCTTCACACCCTGAGTGGGAGTGGAAGGTCACAGGGCAATGAATTTTCTCTCCTCATTCTGCTTTGTTCACATCCATTCTCTCCTAGGTTCAGGCCTCAGCACACAGGCCCCTGCTGACTCCGGTCTGTCCTGGCACAAAGGCCAATGTCCCTGATGCTTGTCTTTTCTCTTTTCCTAAGCCAACAATCCTCTCCTCGATCTGGGCAGAGACAGAGGGTCCTTGGAGCCCTGGTCACTCCTGCACCAGGAAATTGATAAGTGCAGTCCTGGGGGAGAGGAAGGCCTTCTTGATGCTTCTCCCCTGCAACAGCCTGATGCCCAGCTCACTCTGGAGAACAAATTCATGGACTTTGTCCTGGTCCTGGGCAACTTGTTGGGGCACAGAGATCTTTCCACAGGCCTTGTTGTTGATCTGAGAAGGAAAAGAGCAGAGAGAGTGAGGAGAGTCCACAGGGAGGCAGGCTGTGAGGGTGCTCTGAGTCCTGAGCTTAGTACTCTCTCTAAACATGGCTCCTGTGGTCTAGGGTGGATGTGATGCTGGCACATCCCACAACACAAGTACATTTTGTTTATTTCTTTCCTTCTTTATTTTTGTTTGTTTGTCTTGAGACAGAGTTTCTCAGTGTAACAGCCTTGGCTGCCCTGGAACTCACTCTGTACTCCAGGCTGGCCTTGAACTCAGAGATCCGACTGCCTCTGCCTCCCTAGTGCTGGGATTAAAGGCGTGTGCCACCACCACCACCTGGCCTCTTTTCCCTTCTTTTAAGCTTTTCTGTCTCTCTGAGCTTTAAGCTGCATCAGAAATAGGAACCCTGTTGTCCCACTGGATTTTTTGTTTTTGCTGAGACAAAGTCTTATCATGTATCCCTAGATAGCATCAAACTTACAGTGGTCATCCAGACTCAGATTCTCAAGTGCTGAGATCACAGAGAAACCACTGTGCCTGGCTTTTGTTTGATTTTGCATTCCTAGAACCTAGCACTATGCCTGGCTTAGAGTCAGGACTGGACGTGGGTGAAGTAAATCACTTTTTTGGAGCCTGTTTCCTTAACTAAGAATGGTATAGCCTCTCACAAGATAAAGAAAATCACATTTGGATGTAAATGACACAGCTCCACTCCACCTGCCATCCAGAGGATCAGGTAAAAGCCTATCCTGGTCTCTTTAACTTCTGCCGCTGAAGCCATTAACAGATGTCTGTAAAAATGTATCTCACATTAAACAAATCAAATCTGCACAGAGGGGAACCTACCTACAGGGATCTAGTTTTTGCATAAAAGGTTAAAGGGGAAAAAAAAAACAAACCAAAACAAACTACTCTTGCTGGGCCTGGTGGCATGGGCTTGTAATTCCAGATACCTTGGAGGCTGAGGCCAGGGGATCAAAGCTCAAGGCCAGCGTAGGGTCCATTTGATCAACTCACTTAGATCCTGTCTTAAAGTTAACAGTAAGAAGAGGGTTGGGAATGCGGCTTAGCAAGATACCACTTGCCTAGAATGCCCTGGGCTCTAGGTTCAACCCCAGAACCTAAAAATAAAATAAAAACCTGAACCTTGAACTTCCCTCCAACATTACTCATATATTGAAAGTGGTCAGTCTGCCAATAAATAAATGAATGAATGAATGAATGAATGAATGAATGAATGAGGGAAAAGAATTATATGTTTGGCAAGGCATTACATTTTTAAGTTTTATTTTATGAGAGTAGGTGGTTTGACTGCATGTGTATCTGCACCCCACATTCATGTCTGGTGCCAGTGGAGGCCAGAAGAGGGCAGCAGAGCTCCTGGAAATGTAGTTGTGAGCTACTAGATGGGCGCTGGGAATCCAACTTAGGTCTTCTGGAAGAGTATCTAGTGCTCTTAACTACCGAGCCATTTCTCCAGCCCAACAGAGGTATTCTTTACTGACAGATGTCTGTCCCCTTCTATATGTCTCCCCACCCCTTTGCCTTAAACCTACCCGGATGCTCTTAAATGCAGCTGGAAGACCCTGGAGCCATTAAGGCAGATCTGGCTGGTATTTCCCCTTTCTAGTCTTTCCAGGCCTTGAGTGTTGAAGCTTACGTGCTTCTGGGATATAGTGAAGGAACAGAGAAGGGAATAGAGACCTCTGTGTTGTGGGCTTGGTCAAATGGAAGGGCTGGCTTGGGGGCTGGGTTGATGGGTCGCAGGGAGAAGAGGGATAGTCTGTAGACCACGGTCTAGCACTATGGCTGTGGGTGGCACTCACCAGAACGGCCATCTGCACCACATCAGGCTGCTGAAGGAACTGTGAGTCCACAGTGGGCCAGGCCTGAAGCATCACACCAGCATCCCAGGCATAATGGTCACAGAGCTTGCTTGGTACCGACGCCAGGCCTGCAACACCAAGGCACAGAAGGTCAGGACACTCAGAACACACAGTGGGGTTCATGAACGGGGTGCAAGGCTCTGCCCTTGGCTTATAGCCTTTGAAGGAAGCCAGGATACCACAACATGACTTTCTCCATGAGGTTGTGGACTGGCCACTCTGAGTGGTGCTAGTGCTTTTGTTTTGTTGGCTTCTGTCTTAGGTCCTTGTGCCAGTATCAGAGATTTCTCATGACTTTTAAAACTTTTTCCTATCTGACACTCATGACTGTATAGCTTATTGGTGGGGTAGAAATGAAGATTGCTTAGGGCCCGAGGATCAAGCAGTGTACTGGTGCACAGGGAGGAGCTGACCTCTTCCCACTGCTGGTCTCCTTTCTATAAAAAGCATGCAGCGACGTGAGGATGGATGGACATGGTACTCTGACGTGAGTGGAAAAGAAAGCAAGGCTGCCAGCGTTCTGGGGTTACCCCTTTGCTGGGGAAGGAATGCTTTCCCGAGAACTGGCCCAAGTACAGGCTGCCCTCACAGCTTCTCCTGCCATGAGTCTTTGGTTTCAACATCTTGTCCCTGGTCCCTTTCCACATATAGAGTGCACTGGACAGAAGGATGTGCTCAGCCCTCCTGTGAACTTAGCTCTCTCAGGAATGGACCCTTGGCTTAGGGTAGGCCACATGAAGATGGTAAGGTATAACCACTCGCCAGCCTTCTTCTAGAGAGTCCTGGGGCTTCTGACTTCTGTCTTTTAGGGCTAGGAATGGAACCCAGGGCCTTAAGAATGCTAAGTATATGCTCTGCCACTAATCTGTACCTTAAAATCTCTACTTTCTTTCAAAAATTATTATTTTTTTCATATGCATTGGTGTTTTTGCCTTCCTGCATGTCTGTTAGGGTGTTGGATCCTCTGAACTGGAGTCACCACAGACAGTTGTGAGCTACCATGTGGGTGCTGGGAACTGAACCCAGGTCCTGTGGAAGACAAGTCAGAATTCTTAACTGCTGAGCCATCTCTCCAGCCCCACCCCCTTTCCTTTTAAAAACACTGTTTTTAAACATTTTCCACAAGGAATACTTACTGCTTTTATACCTACATATGCACATATTACAGTTGTGCTGGCGATGAACCTGGGCTTTGTGTGCACTAAGGAAGTGCTCTAACTCCGAGCAACACTCATAGCTCGTTAGTGATTTGAAAGATATTTAAGTATAGCGTTTTTCCACACTGTGAAATCAGTTCAGGAATTTTCTTTTGGTTTCTTTGAAAGGTTTCACCCCCCCCCCCCATTTAACTTTCAAATTTAGCAGTATTCTATTTTGTTTGTAATATAAAAAATTATCTTCAAAATCACAAAGTAAACTTCTCCAAACCAAGTTTGTTTGCACAAAGCTTCCTTCCCTATTGGTTTGTGGGTTTTCCTTCAAAATATTATTGTACTGGGATTGATTTAGGACATATTCAAATTATATGGATATGTGGAAACCTGGGGTCAGAATGTGAATCAGCACACACTGCTTCCTTTATTAAAAGAAAGTTCAGGGATGCAGCAGAGTGAAGAAGTGTTTGTTAGCATGAACGCCGTCCTGAGTCTGACACCAGCATTGCAAACACACGTGTGCACACATACGAGGGATCAGCCTTATTCAGCCACGTATTAGCAATTGCTGGTTTACACCCACCACACGCCCTTCTTCTCACAGACGGAAACTAACAATCCTTAGGCAAGCCTGAGTTGTGCACAAGCCACTGAGTGGTGCTAATGCAGCCTCTCCCACTCCAGCACAGATGTAGTCTATCCCACGGGCCTCTGCCTTGCTTGACTCTGGCACTCTCATTCATTGGAGCTTTTTAAGTTTTCCTATCTGACACCCAGGTGACCCTGTATTGCCAGCTACTGTCAGGAGAGTGAAGGCTCCTCACAGCCTGAGTACAAGACATGACCCCTCCTGCTGCCCCAGAGTCCTGGCCTAAGTTCTTGTACTTCTCAATGGGTCTTAACAGCCTTTTGGCAAATGCAGAAAAGATTCCAGCTTCTTCCTTCTCTAAAAGTGAGATGGAGGTCACAGAGGACAGACAATTGTGTCTTTATTTGCCGAGTTGGTGGGGGCTTGTCCTGTGACCCAGATGTAGCAGGAAGGTTTCCAAAACCTCGTATAGAAGTCATACAGAATGCCTAGTTGATGAAAGGCCCTCGGATGAAAATGTTCTGGATAGAAGCTGCTAGAAATTCCACTGGGGGGGAAAAAAACAAGGAAGCTAGACTTCCTGGAGTAATCAGGATGCTTATTTATAGGTACAGTGCCTCACCAGGCTTTCCCTGGACAGTGTGGGTTTGGCTGCAGAGGGTGGAGCTCAGGGTCCTGTGTATGTGCAGGCTTTTGCCACTTTGCTCTTTTGAGTGAAAATACCCAACATGTGCATGGCAAATACAACAACATAACCAAGGTGACAGGTCACACGGGGTAAGTCTGGATACGACAGACAAGTACCAAAGCTCTAGCATGCAGGGCCATCATCCCCACCTCTGGAGAGCTGACCTCCTTGCAGAAAACAAAACCAAACCTCCCCCATCCCACCCTGAGCACAGGCTGCCAGGCTGCCTTGGTGGCCCACAGTGACTGCTGGGGGCTTGGGGGTCCTGGTTTCTGTGTATGGCAGTCCTCCCCTGGTGGCATTCTTGGTCCTGTCTTTGCCCTCATCTCCCCATCCTTGTCTGTGCTAGCTAATTCCCCCGAGTATGCCAGGAGGGCCTGGGTCTGTGATGACACTGCTCACAGCAGTCCGGGCAATTCCAAGAAAATGCACAGGAAGCAAGGTCACTTCATGCTGACCTTTCCCAGAGATTTGAATTTGCTCATATGCTTTTGAAAGAACAACATCCACATTGAATCAGAGGCTGGGGTGTGGCTCAGTGGTAGAGCATGTCCTTAGCGTGCACAAGGCTGGACCCAATTTCTAACACCAGAAGCTAACAACAAACAAACATAAACAAAACAAAACAAAAACTATCAGAGGGCCTGGTGGGATGCAGACTCGGTGTCTGGATGAACATTTGTGGAAGTGGCTTGGATACCAAAACAGATAAGATCTGAACTTAACTAATGAGTTCACAATGAAGACAGGTCAGGGATGAGTGGATAAAAGGGCTTGGCCTGATGACCTGAGTCTGGATGCCTGGAACCGATGGAAAAGTTGGACACAGTGGCCCAACCATTAGTCCAAGAGCGCTGGCCGCTATGGGGAGGCAGAAGGCAGAGACAGGAGCATCTTTACTAGCTCTTGGGCCAGCTAGCCTAAGTTACATAGTGGTTAATACCTCGTCTCAAAACAGTAGAAAGATGAGGACTGACACCCAAAGGTCGTCCTCTGACCTCCACACACATTCATGGCATATACATGCCCACACCCACAACAAAGCATGTACACACACACCCACAACAAAGCACACACACACACACACACACACACACACACACACACACACACACACACACACGCTGACAGTGAGTAGCTGAACCCTCAAAGGATGAAGAGCTCTGATCAACACATTTGCTGAGCTACAAACAATGATCAGTGAGAGGCTTGGGCAAATGCTGGTCAGAAGTAACCAGCTAGACAAGGACCCTCTTACGTACCTGCCCAGAGTTCTGAGGATATGTGAGGAGCCATGGGGGCAGCCATCACCAGCAGGGCACACAGAGCGTCCTCAAACTCACGGCTGTGGAGAACCACTCTCTCAGAGGCTTGCTGAGGAAGAGGAAGGAACATTGAAGACTGGGGTACAAATAAGGCAGGGGTAAGACAGACCACGGACTATAGACCACGGACGAAGCAGAATCCAGAGGCTCAACAGGTGGGGCAGGGGGGATTCTTCATTGCCTCTTTGGTAATGAAGGTCAAAGGATCCCTCACAGAACCTCATACCCAGCGCTCACAACTGCCCTTCAAGGGCAGGATTTGTACCTCATCTGACTGAGGAAGAAACTAAGCCCCAGCGAGGGAGGAAAATCTGCTCTGGGAACAAGGTCAAACCCTGCAAGCACACCTCGAGGTTTCCTGCGTGTCACAGCCGGGGGGAGAATGTGGAGAACTGTCTCCTGAGATTCCCTACTGTGGAGTACCAGGGCATAGGTCCTCTCCACTCACCAACTACTGACAAATTCTTCCCTTGTCAAGAAAAGCTGGAGTCACATGCAGCAAAGAGGAGTGGCACTGAAAATGGAGGGAGTAACAGCTCTGCTCCACCCAGGTTCAGCACATACAAACGCCAACCATGCCACAGGGAAACAGCCGGACACATTCAGGAAATCAGGCAGTAGAGGATGAGGGTTAGAGCAGACAGAGGTCTAAGCCTGGCCCTGGCTTTGCAACTGCTTATTCAGACATGGCATCTAACCTGGGCCTTCATGTCCTCTTAGAAAAGATTGGAAATTAAAAGGCTTTAAATGAGGAGGCAGAAGCTGGAGGATCACTGTAGGTCAAAGGCCAGCCTGGCCCACATGGTTAGACCCTGTCTCAGGAAAAGTAAGCGGCTTTTCTCAGATAACCTTTAAAACCCCGGGGCTAGAGAGATGACTCAGAGATTAAGAGCACAGCCTGTTCTTCCAGAGGTCCTGAGTTCAATTCCCAGCAACTACATGGTGGCTCACAACCGTCTATAATGAGATCTGGTGTTCTCTTCTGGTGTGCAGGCATGCATGCAGACAGAACACTGTATACACAATAAATACATAAATCTTTGAAAAGCAAAATACCTTGAAGTAGTATGATAGAATTGTGACCATGGGAGAAATATTCCCAACACTTTCACCCTCCCTCCTCATTTAGGCGAGGTCCAGCTGCTTACCGAGAGGGCACTGCTGAGTCCCATCAGCTGAGAAACTGCAGAATTCAGTGCAAAGTCCTCTGTGAAATGGGTGGTTACCTGTTGGAAAAAAATGATTCTATTTTTCTACTAGCTTCAGAAATTCTCTTTAGCTTTCCAGAAGAAAACTGAATGATAAAAAAAGAAGCTAACTGAACATAACAAAAGATAGCTACAAATATGTCAAATGTCTGGAATAATGACGGGATTTCATGACTTTTGAATTCAGACTCCATGTTGTTTCCACTGCTTAAGACCGCCTCTCTTTCCACATCTCAGACAGTGTTGCTTAAGACAACGCTGGCTGCTTGAGCAGGAGGCAGGAGCTGCTGGTAAGCAGCAGGAAGACAACAGTGGATAAAGACATGAGGGGCTCCTCTAGCAGCAGTGAGGCCTGAAGTTAGACTCCCCACCACTGACAAAAAGAAAGGAAATGAGACAGCTTTCCGAAGCCGAGAGTTTCCAGCAGTTGAAACAACACATCATTATCTGACATGCGTGATATGAAAGCAACCACCTGGCAGCACTCAAGTCTCCAGAGTCCCCTCGGTGACTCCCTCTACGCAGAGAATCGAAATAAAGTTGGAGAAATGCCATTGGATGAGCATGCCAGACCCAGGGCCACCTGATCAAGTCATGAAAACAAACAGACAAACAAAAATCCTGCCATGTCATCAATGTCATCTGAGCTGCGGTCCAGGCAAGAAGTGGCCTTGGGTGACTTTACAGGCTTGAATCAGCACCTTTCCCTTCTTAGTTCAGGGACTGGAACCCAGGCCCTGGAACACTCTACCACCAACCTACACCCACCCCTGAATCAGCAAGTGAAAAATAAACCAGCCTAAGAATCTGGGTTATCAGATACCCATTAAAAATAACCTCATATTTGGAGCACAAGGGAGCCTGGATTCCGATCTGCGTTCAGATCCCCATTAGCTGCAGGATTTTAAGCCAGACACCTGACCTGTCTGGGCCTTAAGCTCATCTATAAAATGAGACGGTATTTTATGGCAGTCTCCGTTACTCTCAGCTCTGCACCCCTGTTAATACAATGTGCAAGGTTTCGTTAGAGATTGGTTCCACCTGCAGGTCAAGTCCAGAGACGCAGGAAATGGGTGGCTTCCTGAGGTCTAGGTGGAAGAAGGTGACAGGGTGGGAGGGACAGCTGTTTTAGGAAGTTTCAGTAAAACAGCCAAAGCAGTGACAGCAATTAAGTGAGGCAGCAGGCCCACCTCACAAGGACAGAAGGCCCACTGTGGCCCTCAGGCTGTGAAGGCTGTATAGATCATCGGGCAAAGGTTCCCTCAGAGTAAGCGCTGTGGATTCTGACCTGAGTTATAACTGAGTTTTTGTACTCCCAGAGGTTTCGGGCCTGGGTTTTCTCCTTGTTGTTCAACAGCTGAGGTTGGGGGACTGACCCGGAAGTCCTTGCCTCGATGAATCGTGTTGTCAGGGACCACAGCCGCTGCTGCCATCTCAGGACTCCAGGGAGCGCATCGGCTGCATTTTGTGGCAATAGAGGAGACAAAGAAAGAGTACTGATCAGAAGGAATGAGAAAAGCCCCATGGTCCTCCCAGAGTCCTCCCTGATACTCTAAGCCTGGGCAGCAGGACTGCTCAGCAGATGCCACCTACCCTGGGATGGGCATCGGCACACTGCCTTCTGGGTCCGCAGGCTTACTCTGACAGACATGCCGCGGGGCCGACAGAGTGTAAGAGAGCTGCCAGTACCAGTGAAGCTGAGGGCTCATGAGAACAGGAAACGGCAGCTGCGGCTGCACAACATGCTTGGGAACAGCCTTGTGGCACTGTGTGAGGTCAGCTAAGAACCCTCAGCTTGCCAGGTGTGTGTGTGTGTTATGTGTTCCAAACATGTCCACTAAGTCTAGGGTTAGACAGTGGTTGTTCTGATCTGGGGAAGCAGAACAGCCAGCCCACTTGGTGGCTGACCAAATAAGTGTGAGTGCAGATGCCTGAGCCCCACAGTCACTGGGCTGGGTATTCTCAAGAGCGGGGACATAGCAGGGACAGTTGGAGGCTTGTGAGAAGCAGATATGGGAACTTTCCCACGTAGAAAGGAGAAGGCTGAGCTAATGCCGGCACTGCTTTGCACAGTTAGGGCTGGTATCTGTCACCACTGTCCAGACCCACTGCCATAAGACGCAGTGAGAGGAACCAGCCAATCCTGAGATAAACACACTCTTCATGACACAGGCACTGGCTTTCACTCCCTACATCTACATCCACGCTGATCTCAAGGGCGAAATGAAAGCTTTAGAAAGACAAACATCCTGAGGGGAAGTGAGGCTAGCAGGGAGGGGCTGATAGGCTGCACGTGATCCCAGGATCCAGGTGAGGGAGGAGAACTCTGTTCTAGAATAAAACTTGCAGGAAATGTGGACAGAAGGCTTGCCTCTTTGCAGCACAGCAGGCCTAGGTAGGCACAGATGCTTGGTCTTCAAGGCAATAGTTGTCCAGAGACCTCACATTATAATTAGCACAGAGCCTGCAACACCCTCATCCCCCGACCCCTGCCAGCAAGTGTAGGGTGAGGGCTGGGAATGTGCATATGCAATGGGAATCCCTGCCCTTCCCCACCCAAGGGACCCCTGAACAATGGAGAGCTAGGGTCTTGGAGTGGGACAGAAGGCTGGAGAAGATGACTTCTAAAATTCTCCATTATTGTTTCCAGTAAGACATTCTCTTCCCTAGCTCTTTCAGAGATCAGGGTAGACTGCAGAGGAGGCAGGCAGGAGAAGGAAGGAGACTCACTCTTTACATCCCACAAGATGTCCTTCTCAGGAGGGGCTGCGAAGAGGATGTAGAGCCGGATTGTGTCGATCCCATACTGCGCCACAATCTCCTCGGGGTCCACACCGTTGTGTTTGGACTTGCTCATCTTCTCCCACGTCACCTCTAACTTCTCTTTTGTTTTTGCACAAACAGGGGTGGGACCTAGATGCCAAAAGAACACTTAGGAGCGATGCACGATTCTGAGTGGGTCCTGAACAGCTCCCAGGGAAGCGGAGCTGCTCGCAGAGGCCAAGGAAGTGGGCAGGGTGGAGGTCCCAAGCACTGAGCGGTGCTTCCAGGCCTTTTGGGATACGGTCCTGGAAGACTCCATGTTCTGAGTCTGAGGCTTTGTCTGTCGGGCAATACCCAAGCAAATACTATGTTACACAGGATGGGGCTCGGGAGAAGGGGAGAACCAGTCCCAGGAGCAGCCTGCAGAGGCCTGACCAGGATCTGTCTCAGCCTCTGCACCCAGCCAGGACCCAATAGCAGGTGCTGGCTTCTTAAGAGCTCCTGGGCCTGGCCTTGGTTCTCACCTGCTCCACCCAGGCTGGGCCCACCTTACCTGTGAAGTCTACATCCTCGCTCTTTAGACACAGTCCGGATGGAAGGCGGAATGTCTGTCCCTTGATGAGGCCTTGGGCTAGCAGTTTATGGAATGGCTCCCTGAGGAAGGAACACAGGGAAAGGGCTGAGTGGAGTGGAGCAGCAAGGACACACAAGCTGTCCAGAAATCAGACCACACGTGAAAGCAGGTTCCGTGGACACAGTGGTAACACTAAGTCTAGAGGCAGCCAAGGTCCGCTTTCCAGAGGTCAAGTGGGAAAAGCAGTGGCTTCACAGGGGTCCGGAAGGCCTGTGAGCCACAAAAGCTACCTACTTGCTCTGGGTGTCCAGTATGCCTGTAACATGGGAACAAGAGAAACTTGTCCATTGGAAGATGGACGAAAATAAAGGAGTCATGCAGTGTCAGCTGCCCGTCAGACCCAGCACAGAGGGCCTACAGGGGGTACTGAAGGCTGTCTCTGTAAAGGGTGTTTACTATTTCCCCTAACAGTACATGCTTAGACTCTTTGAGAGTCTAAATCTGACAAGTTGGGCAGGAAGAGATCATTTCTGTCAAAATCTAAGTATTGTGTAACTGTCTGTGGTATTTTGAGTAAAAATGGTCCCCATGGGCCCATAAGGAGTGGTACTATTAGGGGTTGTGGCCTTGTTTGAGTAGGTGTGGCCTTTTTGGAGGAGGATGCCACTGGGATCAGGCTTTGAGGTTTCAGAAGCTCGAACCAGGCCAGTGGTTCATTTTCACTTCCTGCTGCCAGCCAATCCAGATGTAGAATGTTGTAGAATACTCCTTTGCACTGAGTGAAGATGAGTCACTGTGTTTGGTTTAATAAGAGCTGAGTGGCCATTAGCTAGGTAAAAGAGGTTAGACAGGACTTCTGGGGACAGAGAGCTCTGGGAAAAAGGAATGAGACATTACCAGCTGGATGAAGAGAGGGTAAGACATGCAGGAGAGGCAAAAGCCATGAGTCACATGGTAACACATAGATGAACAGAAACAGTTGATTCAAGTTATAAGAACTAGTTAGGAACAAGTCAAAGCTAAGGCCAAACTTTCACAATTAACTCTAAGTCTCTGTGGTGTTTGTGTGTGTGTGTGTATGTGTGTGTGTGTGAGAGAGAGAGAGAGAGAGAGAGAGAGAGAGAGAGAGAGAGAGAGAGAGAGAGAGAGGGAGGGAGGGAGGGAGGGAGGGAGGGAGAGAGAGGGAGGGAGGGAAGGAGGGAGCGCTGGTGAACCAGAAGAAAATCTGACCACAGCAGAGCTGTCAGCGCCTTCTCCAGAGCTATACCTTGCTTGCATATGGCCATGATTCACACCACGATGATAATGGACCAAATCTCTGAAAACTGTAAGCCAGCCCCAATTAGGTGTTTTCCTTTATGGTCATGGAGTCTCTTCACAGCAATAGAATCCCTAATTAACGTACTGTTCTTCCTGGCCCATTTCATTCTGCCGAGGCAGCTATCAATAATGGCTGGTGTGTATCTTAGTTATGTTTCTATTACCACGACAAAGCAACACTACCAAAGCAATTTATAAGAGAAAGCACAGTGGGGAACATGGCAGCAGGCAGGCAGGCAGGCAAGGTGGGTACTCCCGAGGAGCAGCCAGGGCTCTTAACTGCTGAGCCATCCATTGTTCCAGCCCTGTCCTCACACACCTTTTCCGGCAAGGTCTCACTCTGCAGCCCTGACTGCACGTGAACTCTCTATGCATGTTAGACTGGCGATGAACTCAGAGATCTGCCTGCCTCTTCCCCCTGGATACGGACATTAAAGACATGCACCACCACACTCACCACAATGGTTTACTCTTAAGAACCAATCAATTCTATTTTGATGCATTTCAGCAAGTAATTCCAGACACCATCCTATGTAAGTATCTCATGTTGTTCTAGATATGTCACACGCCTTCTACCATCCCAGTTCTGGGGTGCAAATTCACAGACCAGGCAGCCAAGAGATTGAGAGAGATGAGGACCAGGAGCAAAAGGTTCCTGACCTTTGTGTATGTCAGTCCCGTGCCGCCCCACAATCTCCTCAAGGTCCAAATACTAAATACATGCTCTGCCTGAGATGCAGCTCACCTTACAGTTCTAAACTCATTTAATGAGTGTATGCAGAAGCAAAGCTGAGAGATGGAGTCCATTTACAAAGGTGGAGAAAAATCCAGTACAGTTAACATTCAAATAGAAATGCTGAGTATCATATTTCTCAGGCCCCATTCAGTGAATGAGTGTATTTGATGGTGTCACAGGGCCAAACACGTGTGCTACTGTGTCAAGATGGAAGAGTCCTCTATGTGTGCACAAAAGTGATCAAGCGCAAAAACATATCTTAATAATTTTTTGTCTGTTTGGTTTTAAAAACGTTTAAAGATTTATCTGGTTTCTGTGTGTGAAGGTTTGGCTACATGCATGTATACACACCACATGCATGCCTGGTGGCCAGGGAGGTTAGAAGAGGGCAGTGGATTTCTTGGAACTGAGTCACAGATGGTTGTAAGCCATCATGGGGGTGCTGGGAATCAAACCCTGGTCCTCTCAGAGAGCAACCAGTGCTCTTCACCACTAAGCCATCTCTCCGGCCAATCTGTTTGCTTTTTGAGAAAGGGTCTCGCTCTACATCCCAGGCTAGCCTCAAACTCAAACTCATATAGCCCACCTGGCTTTAAGTTCCTTTGTATCCACAGCATCTAGTATACCTCACAGAAAGCACAAGGTCAGCCTGCTGTGTGATTATACACTGATATCACCAATCCTCTGCTTTACCCCTTATAATAAGGACCATTCTTTTACTCTCCTCGATGCTCCCAGGGCACTGAGCCCAGCGGATGATAGCCTGTCTTAAAACATTCATCCTATGGCCTAAGAGGTGAGTACCCAGAGTGATGGTGGGATGGACAGTGGGGTGGACGATGGAGGGTCTGGGTGTGCACTGCTGCTCAGCCCCTGGGCCATCTTTGCCTTCCAGCAAATTGTCTGGTGCACCTGGACTTTATGCTAATTACAAAAATAATCACGGGAAGATTTAAAACAGAGGGAAAAATGCGTGGCTACTTGTTGGATCACTGTCCAGGAATGTAGCTGTGTGAGGAGAATTCTGAGTGCTGGGAGAAAACGCTTCAAAAAGACAGAGTTGTTCCTGGAATTTCCTTTCATACTTCTTCCAGGAATAGTGGGCAGGAATGCGTTTACTTCAGCTGTTGTTATTCATATGCCTCTCTCGGTCAGGGTTTCTATTGCTGTGAAGAGACCCCATGTTCATGGCAACCCTTATAAAGGAAAACATTTCATTGAGGTGGCAGCTTACAGTTCAGAGGTTCAGTCCATTATCATCATGGTGGGGAGCACGGTGGGGGAGCCCAGAGGGGGAGCACGGCAGCGTGCAGGTAGATGTGGTGCTGGAGGAGAAGCTGAGAGTCCCACATCTTGCAGGCAACAGGAAGTCAACTGAGACACTGGGCGGTATCCTGAGCATAGGACACCTCAAAGCCCACCTCACAGTAACACACTTCCTCTCATACACACTCCAACAAACCCACACCTCCTAATAGTGCCACTCCCCATGAGCTTATGGGGGTCAGTTACATTCAAACTGCCACAGCCTCTATAGGAAAATGTGTTTTTGCCACATGCGGCTTGTCCTTGTGATTGTACACATTTCTCAGGTGACTGACTCTTCCTAACCCTCTGAGAATAAATTGTCTGATGCTCTGAATAAAGTTGGCTATTGCATGGGACTTTAGTTTGCCTCCTTTTTAGCTCCTGCCCTGCACTCTCCTAGGTTCACGCTGTCAACTACAGAGGGAAATGGGTGTTATCTTAGTTAGCTTCTTATTGCTGCAATAAAACTCCATGGCCAAAAGCAACTTGTAAGGGAGGGAAAGAGTTTAATTCACTTGCGCATCCACATCACAGCCCATCAATGAAGGAAGCCAAGGGAGGAGCCTGAGGGCAGAGACTGAAGCAGACATCTTGGAGGAGTGTCGATTATTGACTGGCTCAGTCTGTTTCCTCTAGGACACCCCCTGCCCAGAGACGGCACTACCCACAGGGGGCAGGACCCTTCCACATCAATCCTTACTCAAAAAATGTCCTATATACTTGCCTATGGACCAGTCTTACAGAGGCATTTTCTCAATTTAAGATTCCCTCTTCTGGGGCTGGAGAGATGGCTCAAGGGTTAAGAGCATTGGCTGCTCTTACAAAGGACCTTGATTCAATTCCCAGCACCCACATGCCGGCTTACAACTGTCTGTAACTCCAGTTCCAGGGGATCCTACATTTTCACACAGACATACATACAGGCAACACACCAGTGCACATTAAATAAATCTTAAAAAAAAAAAAAAAGGGCTGGAGAGATGGCTCAGAGGTTAAGAGCACTGACTGACTGCTCTTCCAGGGGTCCTGAGTTCAATTCCCAGCAACCACATGGTGGCTCACAACCATCTACAATTCAATCTGGTGTCCTCTTCTGGAATGTAGGCAGAACACTATATATGTAATAAATAAATAAATCTTTAAAAAAGAAAAAAGGTTTCTCCTTCCCAGATATGTCAAGGTTTGTGTCTAGCTGACAAGAACCAGCCAGTACAGTCCTTGCTGAGCAGGGAAAACTGGATGCAGACACACTGAAGGCCAGCAGCAGATTAAGGCAGTGCTTTACAGGGCAGGATCACTGCGCTCACACCAAAAGGTGCGTCGGCGAGTCTGCAAGGACCGTCTGGGTACACACAATCCCATGTGCTCATTCAGTGCTGCTGTTACTGTCTCAGGTGCCAGCATCCCTTCAACAGGTGTGACGTTTTCCCACTCTTCTCTCACACTGGGCATTGGTTTTAGTCATATTTAGGGAACCTCAGGAGCTGGGCGTGGTGGCACACATCTTCAATTCCCAGCACTCGGGAGGTAGAGGCAGGTGGATCTCTGTGAATTCAAGGCCAGCCTGGTCTACAGAGGGAGTTCCAGGACAGCCAAAGCTACACAGAGAAACCTTGTCTCGAAAAAACAAACAAACAGAAAAAGAAATTCAAGGATATGGAAGTGTGGTTCAGCAGTACATACTTAATACACACAAAGCCATGGATTTACACCCAG